GAGTGTAGATTTTATTTCTTTCAGTCTGCTTGTCAACCTTTGCCAGACATTTGGGGGAATTTTACCCTGAAATGGTTCCATACAAGTGTCTTGCCTTTCTCCAGGGCCTCGTAGTTTCTTAGACACAATAGCCATTGAGTATTGAGCCATAATGTGCACTGGGAATCTTTAATCTAAATGCCACTACTGTAGATCCTAACCACTCAATGAGATCAGTGTTCTTTTATTTTGTGGTTCTACTGTGCTGTCTTCTCTAAGATTTCCACTTCATTTGAAAAACACCTTTTTTATAGTTTTCAGTAAACTGAAGCACCAAAAGTTCCACATGAACTTAAGGAAAAATTTCTTAACAGTGAGGATGATGGAGCACTGGAACAGGTTGCCCAGAGAGGTTGTGGAGTCTCCTTCTCTGGAGATCTTCAAAACCCGCTTGGACGCAGTCCTGTGCCACGTGCTCTAGGTGACCCTGCGTGTGCAGGGGGATTGGACTAGATGACCTCTAGAGGTCCCTTCCAACCTTAACCATTATGTGATTCTATTTTTCCCAAAACATGAACTATACACTTTACTGTTATGAGAACTCAGAATTTATTAAAACAGAGTCCATTGTCTGTATGTGCATATTTTTGTAGACATAGTCCACAGAGTCCAGGATTAGGTACTGTTGCCATTTTAGTGGAAATAAAGTGAAATGGACCAGTGCTGTTAAATGATGTTGCCAATAAAATGATCTTCCTAGTACTATCTGAGTAATATGGGCCTGATAGAAATCATGCGACTAATTCCATGGATTTCAATGGCCTTTCAATCGCATCTTAAGTAGACATGGTTCTGATTTGATACAAACAGCATTTTCCCTAGAGTTCATAAAAGGTTTAATTCCATATCTAGTAGTACCTTCCTCCTCCCAAAGATGTAAGATAAGAATGAAGTCTTTTTTTCTCAGCAGATATTCTACCATATGTAAGAATCTACTCCCCCATCCTGAAGCCTATTGCAGGGGGTTTTTTTCTTACTTCAAAGGAGAGCTTATCCTAGTTGCTCCTGGTCCAAGACCCCTGTGCAGAAAAGGACCTTCCATGCTATTCATTTTTGCAAGAGTAAGCTTAATACCAGAAGGATCCAGCAGAACTCAGCAGAACCCCCCCATACTCATGTGCATGCAAACAACCCCTTTTTCTTCCTATCAGGAGTTGTGGTGGGGTTACAGCTCACAGTAGCAATAGAGTTTGCTTCTTCAGAGATTCGTTTAAAGTTCTCTGGGAAGACCTGAATTGTCCTTTGTCACATCCCTAATTGCCTTAGTCAGGGGCCTTAAAATGAGGGAAGGAAAGAGGTGAGGAATGTTACCATCTTAGTACACTTTACTCAAGGGAATCTCTGAGGCCATTATCATTTATGATATTTGTACATTTATCAGTGGCTCTTCAAAGACCCAAAGGACAGATAAGCGTCCAGCACCTTTTTGTGTCTCTGAAAATCATAACCGATATGCTAGATAGACCGTGTATGGGGTAAGTAGGAATATTTCACATCTACAAAAGCAATTACTTTAAAACCTGAGTGGCCCCTGTCACAGTCACCACCACTTATAAGTAAATAATATATGCCCTAGGTCTATAATGTATGAGTGCATGCATGTATGTTCAGGTGAGCACTGACAGCAGGAGGGACAACACTGGATGTGGACCACTGTCAAAACTGGACTCAGCATGAGTGTGTGTGGTTTGTCTGTGCCCATATGTGGTTTGTGTGTCCATAATGTGGTTCATGTGGTCCATGGTTTCATACACGAGTGTTTGTAAAACTCCATTGCTATGTGTGCTTTTTTCACTCAAGCTGCTAATCAATATTGGCTAAATTTATATAGCAGAAAAACCTCTTCCCTCTATCTGTCTATTATTGGGCTAAAAGATTTTTATAGGGCATTTCCATCCTAAGGGAATTTTACATCAGGCCTGTAAACCTGGGAAAATAAAAGCTTTGTTACTGTAATGCTGGCAAGCTCTTAAGTGTAGCACTACTAGCAGGAGCCACTCTAATATAGGGTTCAGAATAGTAACATAGCCCAGCACTGTCCTTGGACAACTGCTTGCATTTACAGAAATTGATGTGTTATTGTGCTGAAAACTTCCCCAAAGAAGTCTGAGGAATGAGGTGAAGAACAATAGAGATGTCTCACAGGGAGAATGGCTTCGCTACACGCAGGATTGCACAACGCTTTGAAATCTGCCACCATCCCAGTCCCATGCTGTCTCCAGCTTGGTGGACACTTTCATTTAACCAGGGATCAGTAGCGTGGGGGGAAGGAAAAAGAGTTCCTTCCTCCAGCTGTCGTGTCATTTCCCTTGATAAGTCCTAAATTGACCGCGTTATCCAGCACCAAAGGAGCTTTCTCTGGTAGACATCCTTTATTACATGCCCTTTCGGGGACAAAGGGAGTCTGTGTCAGTAAACTGCTATGGAGAGGAAGGACAGATTTATTCTCACAGCATCATAAGCATTATCTTCTGAGGGCCTAATGCAAAAGTAAAAAATGGTGCAGCATTACCGTCTGAAATGTAACAGCTGATGTTGCAATACCCTCCTCCTTGATTATCAACCTGATGGGAGGCAGAATGAAAAGCCTGAAAGACTGCTTCCTAGAAAGGCGTATTTTACGATCTGATTTATAAAATGAAAGCTTTTTAAAAGGAGCAAAATTTTATTGCTTGTTTGTTTGCTGGGTTATTTTGGAGGTTTGGATGGTGGTCTGTGTTTGGTGTTGTGAAAGAAAAAGAGAAGGTCTGTGAGGGTTACTTTGGGCTAATTTTAGATGAAGCAGAAAGTCTTGATTTTGAATTAGAAACCCAGGCAGTTTGTGCCTATGCATGTCAATGACATGATTTGTCAAAATCAGTGGAGATTTTCCAAAGCGCAAAAGGCAGTGAGAAGCCCAGCTACACCCACTTACTCTGGGATGAGTTGGACATTTTCAGGAGCTCAGCAGCTTTGAAAAGTCCTTCACCACCACCTGGAAATGCTGCAGCCTAGTTAGTGTTTTAGCAGTCCGAACATGTTCCTCTCCTCTGACAGGACCTGCCTGCTTCTGGGAAAGAAAGAGGGGCAAGTGGGAAAAAAAGGTGTAAAAAAAATGATGATGAAATCTAGTGTTTTCCATTCGTTTGTGACCTGAAGAACTGACAGTATTAAAAAAAATATTTCAACAGATCCTCAAACAGCCACTGGAGAGGTGGATGGGGTGAATCTGGAGGAAATCCGAGAATTTGCCAAAGCTTTTAAAATCCGGCGCCTCTCCCTTGGCCTGACACAGACTCAAGTTGGCCAAGCCCTGAGCGCCACCGAAGGCCCAGCCTATAGCCAGTCTGCCATCTGCAGGTAACAAGCTACATCATAACCCTCTATTCTCCTCTCTTTGTCCTTAGTAATTATGAACTTTATTGTGAGGAGCATGCTTGTGTTTGACTCATATGTCTTTAGAACATGTCATTTAATCTGGGACTTAAACTAGCCAGTGATGTTGGTATCTGGCAGATAAAATGTTCTTACTGTGTGCCCCTAAAGTAACTTTAGTCTTTTTTCCCCTTCTTCTTTTTTTTTTTTTTTTTAAACAAGTGAGAAACAATGTTCCTGGCATTTTGACTTAATTCACTAGACGAGCTGGAGACCCTGCTGGTGCTGGATAAGCGCCAGCTGACACTCTTCATACTGTGCCATTTTCTACAGATAGGGTTACTGAACAAATATTTCATGACTGCATCCCTGCTAAGTTAAAAACTATATTACTGTGGTTAGCACTTCACATATAGGATGTTAATGATGATTTACCTAGGCAACACAGAAGGGAAAAAATTATCCTTCCTGCTATCTTTTGAACCAGCAACTATTCATCTTTTATCACCCAAATGCTTATTAGAAAAAAAAAAAGAAAAAAAAAAAAAAAAGAAAAAGCACAAACCACCTACATAGAATAAGGAGAAGGAGAAATCTCTCCTAATCATAAGAAATGATAATACAGCCTTGACAGAGTTAAAGTCAAGTAGTTAAAAGCAAACGCCCTGTATGCATGTATGTGTGTTACAGTAATCCCATGTTTATGCATGAAGTAACAAACACACTTAGGTAACAGCTTTTTCCTCTTGGGCAATGCCTTATAGTCCTTCTCCATCAGTGAAAGCCAAGAAACCAACTCTAAGCTCATTTAAGTGGATTTTGTTCTTGGTGATCCATGAAATGCTCTGTCTTTTTATCTGCTCTTTATACTTTTAATGTATTCCCCATAGAACGGAAGTGTACTTTTCCTGCAGTTTAAGACTAAGGTTATAAATAACATCAGTATGGGGTAGTGAGCTTGCAGCTCACATTTTGCTCAATGATTTTCCATAAAACCCATTGATTGTTGTTAAATACAAAAAGCTCCGTAGGATCCTCTCACTTCTATGGCCTCCCCTACTGTTTTTTCTTATAAGATACCTCCCTGTAGAAAATAACCTTTATTCAGTCTATACAAGGATACTACTGCTGCGAAATTTGTTTCAAGGCTTGTATATCGTTATACCAAACAACATGTACTGCAGCACCAACACTAACAAGCGGTGCCATTGATATGAATGCTATTGCTCCCTGTCACTAAGGATTAATTTTATTTTTTTTCTTTCCTGTGGTCAATTGGTGAAGAATGCCTAAAACGGGCAGAGTTTTTAGCAAGTGCCACTTTTTGTAGACTTAAGTTGTTGTTTAACGTATTATACTTTAAACTGATACATTGCAGTTTCCTTTGCTTGTGTCTAGTTTGTTGTCTTCTCATTTCTTCCATCTACCTTACAGCTGAAAAAAAATGCTGGGAATGGTTTGAATTGAACTAAGAGAAATTGTTCCCTACTAGCCTGTTATTAAGAAAATCCAAACAAAGATGCAGCTGGAACATAAACAGAGCTAAGAACCAAAATGTGGAGACCTTCTATAGCGAGCTCCTTCAAGGAGACAGTTATTGAGATCATGAGGGCCAGGTGTAGCAGCTGGTCCCAAATACTTGCAAGGTGGTAGTGTTTTACTTTCTTCAGTCCCCAAATAGCTGTCATTTGGGGGTGTAATAATTGGCTATGGCTATACCTTCCTTGCTAAGCCTCAAGTCAAGCTGCCTCAGTGGCAATATGCTGTTCCCAGAAACAGCAGGTTCAACTTCTCTTTAAATGGTGGCAAGGAGTTTTCAGTATGAACTCTGGGGTAATGCAAGGGGAAGAGAGAGAAGCAAGTTGAAAGACCAACTCAGAGGCACAAGCAGGATCTCCCGATGCCCTTTGCAGGGCATAGCAGCAATATACCACCTTGCTGATGTGTTCTGTCTGAAAAAATAAAAATAAAAAAATTATTAACTAGACATAAAAAGTTCAAAATATAAACTGCAGATTGAAATATCACTGGACACCAAGGAAGGACACCTTGCAGTCAATATGGCAATAGGTTTCCAGGCAGCAGTCATAAAATCTTTGGAGTGTTATTTGAAGTTATTTCTTGTCCTGTTCTTTGTGAGAACTGCATTGTTTCCTGCTGGAATCTTTCCTGCAGCTGCCACTCGCTGAATGTAGGCAGTAAATACTGCCAGCGGCGGTCACCGCGCTGCTTTGCACAAAGGCATTGGTCTGATCGGTCTCTCCGTGAAGGCGCGTTGCGATGAGCAGCGGCAGCGACGTTTCAGCACCGGGCGGGCTGGACGGGGCAGTGTCGCCCCGTGGTATCTGCTGCCTTGCCACCCCGCACTGTGGGCACGAGCAAAGTGGAGAAATGCAAATGGGAGGCATCAGGGGGACTGGCGGGAGACTTTTTAAATGAAAGGATGAAGTTGATAAATGAAGGAAACGAGTACGTATAAGGCTTGAAGCATGACTTCAGCTTTTCTGCTTGCTTTTGAAAGGATTAAAGCTTTGTGTGGCTGCTTTTCCAGATTATTTCTGATACTTGTAAAATCTGGTTTGGCAAAAGACTTTTGATGGCAAAATGATATATAGAAGACCTCATTTACAGGAAATGATATCATTCTAGTACAGTTTGCAGAAATCCCACAATAAACCCAGCTTGGTGCCACGGCATATTAGTAGACTATTATGCTGGGTTTCATCTGGAAAACATGAGTCTGTCTTAGCACATTGTGGGGGTAGTCAAGATAATTGCAAAGTGTCCAGCTGTTTCAGCTGAACACCACAGTAGCTATGGGAATCTTTTTCCGACCCAGAAAAGGGACATGGTATTAACTTGCAAACAGTGAAAATTGCTGAAAAATGAAAGGAAAGGAAACCTGATATTCGAAAGCTACTGACTGCCAATGGTTTGTATTATTAAAGCTGTGCTTTTTGGACAACAGGGGATGGGAGGGGAAACAAAAGCACTAATCACAAAGATGAGGTGATAAAAAATTTGCCTTTGATGTCATTTCCTGTAATTAGGCTTAGCCCTAAGGGGTTTGGAGGTCGCCAGAAATATGAAAACCAAACGTATGTCTTGTATGATGTATTTTGTTGTAGCATTCAATTTGCGTTGGCTTAAATGTCTAGCTGTATATATAGTTATATATATATATATATATACCAATCTGATAGTTTTCGTAATCCATTGCAAGTTACCTCTGCCAGTCACCTAGGCAGGCAGGCAGGAAGTCCCACCCTGGCAGAGCATCAGTGTAAGACTCTTCTTTCTCAATTTTCCCTCAGACACACCATCCTGAGAAGCCACTTTTTCCTACCACAGGAAGCCCAAGAGAACACTATAGCTAGCAGTCTGACAGCCAAACTGAACCCTGGCCTTTTGTATCCTGCCAGGTTTGAAAAGCTGGACATCACCCCTAAAAGTGCCCAGAAGATAAAGCCGGTGCTTGAGCGGTGGATGGCTGAGGCTGAGGCCCGCCATCGAGCAGGCATGCAGAACCTTACCGAGTTTATCCGGAGGGAACCATAGCGGCGCACCTCATTCACGCCCCAGGCCCTTGAGATCTTGAATGCCCACTTTGAGAAGAACACGCACCCCTCTGGGCAGGAAATGACAGAGATTGCCGAGAAACTGAACTATGACCGCGAAGTAGTTAGAGTTTGGTTCTGCAATAAGAGGCAAGCACTGAAGAACACAATTAAGCGTTTGAAACAACACGAGCCCGCGACGGCAGTTCCCATGGAGCCCTTAACAGACTCGCTGGAAGAAAACTCCTAAAAACCAAACCAAACCAAACCAAACCACACACAAAATAACCGCACCAACAGAAACGTAACCGCTCGAACTCTGTGAAAATACCTGTTCATCACCCTTGTAAGTAAAAGACTGAGAAAACTGCAAGAAGGACAGAACAGTTTATAAATGTCCGTGGGTTTTCCTATATAAGAGCAAAACAAAAAAATACACAACACTTAGCGTGTGTGTGTGTCGTAGAATTAGTTCCAAAAGAAAGAAAAAGCCAGTTTTTTTAAATGGACTTAAAGTAAACCAAATAACTGCTTACTTTTTTTTCTGTATATTATGAAAATGTGAACACATTTTAAGGAAAAACAAAACAAAAAAAAAAGAGAAAAAAAAAAGAAAAAAAACTTTTATCTGTTTAAAAGCGAATACAAGCCTGCCACCTGGAGGAGTGATTGTAGCCTTTCAGGTATCAAGTGCTGATTCACTATGAAAACTATTAACCAAAGTCAGAAACATGGCATTGCAAACTAGATTGTTAGTCTACTCTTTTATGAGTGTAAAATTGTGTTATGAATTTTTACATTTGTATTTTACAAAACTGAAAGCAACAAGATTAATTTCTGTCATCCTTATTTGCACCCCCTGCAGGTGTGTAGAAACAGGTGTTAAAGCCATTCCACAGTGGTCTCTTTTCTCCTTTTCTTTTCTTTTCTTTTCTTTCTCTTCTCTATCAACAGTTTTGTAATCTCCTAGTGTTTGGGTGCCAAAAATAATTTATTTTTATTGTGATTTGTGGGATTTAATATTTCTTGTCCGAGTGTGTAAATCTTGGTTTGCATTTCTAATTTTCATTTTTGTTTTATTGACTCCTTTTGCTGCCTCCCTGCTTCCAGCTCATTCTCTATCCTTTCCCTGCACCCACATACCCCAGTACTGTTTGAAGATTTTTAAAAAGAGAAGTGAAACCTAAACACTTTTATACTGATATGCTGAAATGCAATAGAGGACAAAGAAGGATTAGGATTGTCTGATGAACTGTCAGCCCACGCTGAACGTTGTGCTTACTGTTGACCACGTAGCATGGGATTTCTCTGTCCTTTGGCCACGAACCTGGAGAGGTTACCAAAACTCTTTTTGTAGTATAAATATAAACTGCACACTTAGTTCAGTACTGCATCTATCTTATGGTTCTGTTTGAAGCAATTTCTCTCCAAAGTCTGATAGCCAAAGAAATTTCTTGAGATTCTGATGGAAACAAGAGGACAGGCCAAGAAGTGATGAGGACATTTGGATCGTTGCGTCACTGTGGACTGTTTCAATTTTTAGTGCTTTGTTCTTTCTGCCTTTTTTTTTTTTTTTTTTTGTCATCCCAATATTGTTGGTTGCTACTCTTCAGTGGGAGGTTGGGTTTGTGGAAGTGTTTGCTGTGATCACTGGCAAAAGTAAACAACCAGGATATAGGGAAACACACTGAATATCCTTTGGGAATAATGAGGTGGGTCACCTGCAAGGTGCTTCAGGTGAGGAGATCTTCCTGCAAGGACAACTTATCTCTGTGGCTTCCTTCTTGATTGGAGATTATAGTCACTGGTCCTGCAAAGGCAGCAAGGCGTGTAAAGAGGGAAGGGTGTTGCAGGTCCTGGACAGGGCATGGATTGACCCATGACACCTACCTGCAGTTTGCATCATCTGCTGAGTTCTGCCCCAGCCTGTGAGGTTCAACCCTTTGTTAGCATAGAAGCTACACTTGGATCAGGACTTTCCAAAAGGTAATTACTGGGACTTCAGTTCGGCTCACTGTAGGGGCGATAGAGTAAAATTCTGCTGGTATAACTAACTCCTGGTTACATTTCCTGACTTCAGGATGGTTGTACTGGAGCCTTCAAATGATGCCTCTCTTACAGAGTTTCATTTTCAAGAACTCAATGCTATATCCTAGACTTAGTGCAAAAAAGGAACTGATTTCACTGGGCTTTGAATTTGGCCCTCACTATTTTATTAATGAGACTTGCCTTGTGCAATGTGGTATTTGCTGCATGGCTGGTGGAGTTTTAAGGCTTCAGAGACCATCATCTGTGCCTGAAACTGCATCTAAATGTGAGCACTCTCGAAGGTCGGGGCTGGAGAGCACTGGGGATCCAGTACGCCAGGCTGGGTTCACATCCAGTGAATGTATTTTAGGCTTTAAATTTCGTGGGTTATGTATGAGGATATTTTCAGTATTCCTTTTATGAGGAGGAGAGTGAAAATTGTAATTGACTCTCTTCTGAGTGTTGACATAGAAATATCTGCTGGGATAAAAATCTCAGTAACCGCAGGTAAATTTTGTGAGAGGCAAAATAAGAAATGTTGCCCAAGCTGGGCACGTGAAGTGAATGAAGCGAGGGAGAATCTCCCAGCACAACATCTACCCCTTGGCGTTTTCTTTTTTACTCTCTGTCCAAAGATACCTATATCTATAGATACATCCATGTCACCTATAGGTAAGAGAGCTAAACTTCTGGCCACAATTCAATTCATGCAGCCATCAGGAGCCCACCCAGAAGCCAGCAGGGATGGCAGACAGTGTTTGGAAGCGGGCGTCCTGCCCGGATCTCCCGCTCCTTGCCCCATCTCCAGTCATTGCTGCCCACGCGGGCACTGCCTCTCCAGCCGCCCTCGACAGCAGCGCCGGGAGCACCGCGCGTGGGCAGCCCCCTTTGCCAGAAACCAGATTTCCGATTCTCCCAGGAACTGCTCTAAATTTGGCGAGGAAACATTCTCCAAGAAGAAAAGTTAACCAAACAGTGTATGAAAGATGCTAAATGTTTTAAAATATGCTGGCAGCAGTTATATAAGCTCTTTCTGTTCCCAAGTACATATCGGAAGGATATAACTAGGACAGTGGAAATGTAAAATAAATATAAATTGCCAACTTGGAAGGAAAAATGATGTTCATCCCACAGTCTTAAAAACCATTCATGTGCAGTGTTTTTTTTTAATGGTTTTCTAATTTTGTATTATGTTTTGTAAATTATTTATAAAGTGTTGTAATGCTTCTTATATTAATTTTTTTATAAACAAATTTTTGCTATGAGGCATAAATGGTGCCTGAACAAATTCTTAGGAAGATAAATTATGTGTGAATCATACATGTTTTGGGGCCGTAAATATTTTGTTTTATTTTGTTACTAGCAACATTTCTGATTTCCATTTGTAAACAAATTTCATGTATTGATTACATTTGAATACTTTTAATTTTGCATGTGACTAAAAGATAGATTGCTACCAGCAAATGAAACAAAATTCTCTTCAATCATATTTGAAGGTATAGTGGTTTTCCAATTTATTGGTCATTGAATTTTTTAAAATATATATATATATATAATTATTATTTGACGAATGAACGAAGGGTTCACTTACTATTCTGATTTTGACTTTTTATGTTTTTTCACTAAAAAAAAATATTTTGGACAGGTGAAGAAATCAAATGCATTCAAATGGTTCCAGTTTCTTTGCATTACTACCACAAAAAAAAAAAAGAAAAAAAAAGAAAAAAAATAAAAAAGAGAGAACAAGAAAGCAAAAAGGAGCTAGGAAGGAACAAGTAGAGGCGTATCAAAGAACTCAAGCTATAACCAAAAAGAAATATGTAAAATGCCTTTGCTCGTCTTCTCAATGCTGGACCAAAGCTCAATGTATGTAGGTATATGCACATTGTATAGATATGGCTAAATGTTGCTGACAATCTTGCAATACTAAACTGTTACTATTAAAAAAAAAAAGAAATACAAAAATAAAACTGTTCATCAGTGTTTTACCTCAGCACTCTACTTGTACCCAGTTATTGACCAACGTTCAAATAAGAAGATAGGAGAGGAAATTGATTTCCATGTCAATGTTTGACTGTAAAATCTGTTTGGATAACATTTTGTAATGAGCTTTTTGTCATGTGGTTTGCTTGTTTCCAACTTGAGATTATGTGGGGCACATTTGTTTATTTATTGTTAAAAAGTGATATTATTATTATTATTACTATTATTATTATTATTTTTGTCCTATGTGCTATAATCTACAGAATGGTCACCAGGGTCACTTATGAAGCACTGCAAGGAGATCTGTTTTTCCATGCATGGAGCATGCAGCAGGAAAGATGGCAGTACAAAATGGACTGTATTGTGTTGTTAAAAAAATGGTAGTAATTACAAAAGGAGTTGATGTGGTGGACTTGTGACCAAGAAACAAACTGGATATTTAAAAGCTCCTTACTACTCTGACTTTGAAACCAAAGCTGATTTATCTGCACAGGTTGCTTAACATGAAAAAAAATAAAAACATAAAAAACTGACAAAAACTGTACTTAATCTAGAGCAATATCTGTATGGTCAGTAAAGCTGCACTTTGTGTATTTCTTAACAGCTTCAGATCTGTCACTTTTAATTTGTACCATAAAAAATAAAGAATTGTTTGACATGAAAAATAAGCTCCTTTCATGTATTTGTCTTAAATCTCATGCATTATTCACATGATCAGAGCTCATGTAATTTCACATCAGTTCAATACAAAAATAGTTAAATGCTTGAAAGAAAGAAAAAGAAGAAGGAAAGGAAGAAGGAAAGGAAGAAAGGAAGAAAGGAAGAAAGGAAGAAAGGAAGAAAGGAAGAAAGGAAGAAAGGAAGAAAGGAAGAAAGAAAGAAAGAAAGAAAGAAAGAAAGAAAGAAAGAAAGAAAGAAAGAAAGAAAGAAAGAAAGAAAGAAAGAAAGAGAGAGAAAAGGAAAGAAACCTGCGTGCAGCAGTGAACATCGCTTTGCAAAACTAAGCACTGTCTTTGTATCCAAAGCGGGCATGTCTATTGGTGATATCTTATTTTCTCTACAGATATGCGGAGTAGAGGAGCTGCCTAAGGATGATCGTGGAGTGGCTCAGGTGAGTGCACGTTACCCCAGGGCGAAGTGAAACGCAGGTGGGCAGTAAGGCCAGAACCAGAGAAGTCTCCGTTACTTCCACATCCCCCAAGCAAAGCAGGTAAGTCAAGGAAAAGGAGTGCGGTGGTGAGCTCGGATCCTGCTCTCTG